AATAACAGCTTCTAAAACAACAACAACAGCTGTCCCAACAACCACAGCTGCTCCAACAACAACCACAGCTACTCTGACAACAATCACAGCTTCTCCAACAACAACCACAGCTGCTTCTACAACAACCACTGCTGCACCAACAACCACTACAGCTGCCACAACAACAACCACAGCAGCTCCTACAACAACAACTGCACAAACAACAATAGCAGCTTCTAAAACAACAACAACAGCTGTCCCAACAACCACAGCTTCTCTGACTACGACAGCTGCCCCTACAACAACAACAGCTTCTACAACAAGCACAGGTGCCCAAACAACCTCTGTCCCTACAACAACCACAACTGTTCAAACTATAAATACAGCTGCACCAATCACAACAACATCTGCGAAAAAAGGTTCAACAACAACAACCACAACTGCTCCAACAACCACTGCAGCTCTCCCAACAACAACCACAGCTACTTCTACAACAACCACTGCTGCACCAACAACCACTACAGCCGCCACATCAACAACCACATCAACTGCAAAGACAACCACAGCTGCCCCAACAACAACCATGGCTGCACCAACTACCACAGCTGAAACTACCACTACCACAGCTGCTCCAACAACAACATCTACCCCAATAACGACCACAGTTAATTCTAAAACAACTACAGCTGCACAAGCAACAACCACAGCTACTCTGACAATGACAGCTGCTCCTACAACAACAACAGCTTCTACAACAAGCACAGGTGCTCAAACAACATCTGTCGCAACAACAACCACAACTGCTCCAACAACCACTGCAACTGCCCCAACAACAACCGCAGCGGCTCCAACAACAAACACAGTTGCTCCAACAACAAACACAGCTACTCTGAACACGGAACCAGCTCCTACAACAACGTCTGCTCCAACAACAACAGCTACTAAAGCAACAACCACAGCTGCCCCAACAACAACCACAGCTGCCCCAACATCAACGACAGCTACTCTGACAACGACCACAGCTACTCTGACAACAACAACTGCTCCTACAAAAACCACAGCAGCTGCAATGACAAACAAAGCTGCCCCAACAACAACCACGGCAGCACCAACTACTACTGCTCAAACTACCACAACCACATCTTCTCCAACAACATCTGCCCCAATAACAACTTCAGCTGATAATACAATAACTACAGCTGCACTAGCAACAACCACAGCTTCTACAACAACCACAGGTGCTCAAACAACATCTGTCCCAACAACAACCACAACTGCTCCAAATACAAATACAACTGCACCAACCACAACAACATCTGCGACAACAACAACAGTTTCAACCACAACAACTGCCCCAACAACTACTGCAGCTACCCCAACAACAACCACAGATGCTCCAACATCAAACACAGCCTCTCCAAAAACAACCACAGCTACTCTGACAATGACAGCAGCTCGTACAACAACAACTGCTCCAACAACAACAGCTACTAAAACAACAATCACAGCTGCTCCAACATCAAACACAGCTGCTCCAACAACAACCACAGCTACTCTGACAATGACAGCAGCTCCTACAACAACAACTGCTCCAACAAGAACCACAGCAACTGCAACGACAACCACAGCTGCCCCAACAACAACTATGGCTGCCCCAACTACAACCACAGCTGCTCCAACAACAACTACAGCTGCACCAACAACAACAACATCTGCGACAACAATAACAGTTTCAACCAGAACAACCACATCTGCCCCAACAACCATTGCAGCTACTACAAAAACTACAGCTCCTCCAACAACAACCACAGCTACTACAACAACAAACACATCTACTCCAACAACCACTACAACTGCCACAACCACAGCTACACTGACAACAAGGACAGCTACTCCTACAACAACCACTGCTGCTACAACAACCACAACGGCTGCAATGTACACCACAGCTGCTCCAACAACAAACAAAGCTGCTCCAACAACAACCACAGCTGCTTCTACAACAACTACTGCTGCACCTACAACAACAACAGCTGCTACAATAACAACCACAKCTTCCACAACAACAACTTCTACCACGACAACCACAGCTGACTCAACAACAACCACGGCAGCACCAACTACCACCGCTGAAACTACCACAACCCCAGCTGCCCCAACAACAACCACAGCTGTTCCAACAACAACCACAGATATGCCTACAACCACTACAGCTGCCATAAAAACAACCACAGCTACTCTGACAASAACAACAGCTGCTCCTACAGCAACCACAGCAGCTGCAACAACAACAACAGCATCTACAAAAACAACAAGCACAGCTTCACCAACAACAAAATTTTTCCCAACAACGACCACAGCTGCTTCTACAACAACCACAGCTGCGGAAACAAGAACACCAACTACCATGGCTGAAACTACAACAAGCTTAGCTGCTTCAGCCACAACAGCTGCCCCAACAGCATCCACATCTTCCCCAGAAGCAAACACAGGTGCTCCTACAACAACCACAGTTGTTGCTACAACAACCACAGCTGCTTCAATGACAACATCTTCTACATCAACAACCACAGGAGCCCCAACAACAACTACAGTTCCTTCAAGAACAACAACAACTGCTCCTACAACAACCACAGTAGCTGCAACGATAACCAAAGCCACTCCAACAACAACCACAGCTGTTCTTACAACAACTACAGCTGCTTCTACAACAACCAAAGCAGGAACAACAACAAATACAGCTGATCCAACAACAACCTCAGCTGCTACAATAACAACCACAGTTGCACCAACAACAACTAYAGCTGCCCCTACCACAACCACAGCTGCACCAACTACAATGGCAGCTACTATGACAACAACAGCTGCTCCAACAACCACAGCTGCAACAACCACAACTACATCTTCTCCAACAACAACCACAGCTGTTCCAACAAACCAAGCTTCCCCAACAACTATTACAGCGGCCCCAACAAAAACCACAGCTGCTCCAACCTCAACAGCGCCTCCAACAACAACCACCCCTGCCCAAACAACATCTACATCTGCCTCAATCACAACCACTGCTGCTGAAACAACAACTGTCACAAGACAAACCACAGCTGCCAGAACAACAATTTCTACCACAACAACCACAGCTGTTCCAACAACAACCACTGCTGCCCCGACAACAATTACAGCTGCCCTGACCACAACCACAGCTGCACCCACTACCACGGCTGGAACTACAACAACTACAGCTGTACCAGCATCCATGGTTGTGAGCAAAACAACTACAGCTTCCCCAACAAAAACCACAGCTTCCCCTACTGCAACTACACCTGCACCAACTACCACAGCTAGAAATACAACAACCACCACTGAACCAGCATCCATGGCTGTGATGACAACAACTACAGCTGCCCCAACAACAACCAMAGCTTCCTCTATCACAACCACACCTGCATCCACTACCACAGTTGGAACTACAACAACCACAGCTTCAGCAGCATCCACAGTTGTGACCACAACAACTGCAGCTGCCACAACAATAACCAAAGCTGCTCCTACAGCAACCACAACAGCTGCAACAACAAACATAGCTGCTCCTACGACAACCAMAGCTGCTGAAACGACAACCACAGCTGCTTTTACAACAACCACGGCAGCTACAACAACAAATACAGCTGCTCCAACAACCTCAGCTGCTACAATAACAACCACAGTTGCACCAACAACAACTACAGCTGACCCTACCACAACCATACCTGCACCAACTACCACAGCTGCCACAACCACAACTACAGCTGGTCATACAACAACTACAGCTGCTTCTACAACAACAAAAGCAGGTACAACAATAATTACAGCTGCTCCATCAACAACCTCAGCTGCTACAATAACAACCACAGTTGCACCAACAACAACAAMTACAGCTGCCCCTACCACAACCACAGCTGCACCTACTACAATGGCAGCAACTACGGCAACAACAGTTGCTCCAACAACCACAGCTGCAGCAACCACTTCTACATCTTCTCCAACAACAACCACAGCTGTTCCAACAACCCAAGCTGCCCCAACCCCAACCACAGCTGCTCCAACAACAACCACAGCTACTCTGACAACAACGACAGCTGCTCATACAACAACTACAGCAGCTGCAACGACAACCACAGCTGCTACAACAACAACCAAAGCTGCTCCAACAACAATCACTGCTGCTCCAACAACAACCACACCTGCCCAAACAACTACATTTGAGTCAACCACAACAACAGCTGCCGAAACAACAACTGTCACAACAAAAACCACAACTGCCAGAACAACAACAATTTCTACCACAACAACCTCAGCTGTTCCAACAGCAACCACAACTGCACAAACAAAAAGTACATCCACCTCAACCACAACCACTGCTGCCCCCACTTCAACAGCTGGAACTACAACAACCACAGTTGTACCAGCTTCCACGGCTGTGACCACAACAACTACAGCTGCCACAACGATAACCACAGCTGTTCCTACAGCAACCACAGCAGCTGCAACAAAAACCACAGCCACTCCAACAACAACCATAGCTGCTCCTAAAACAACCACAGCTGCTTCTACAACAACCACAGCAGCTACAACAACAAATACAGCTGCTCCAACAACCTCAGCTTTTAAATTAACAACCACAGTTGCACCAACAACAACTACAGCTGCCCCTGCCACAACCACAGCTGCACCAACCACCACAGCTGCCCCCACAACAACTACAGCTGCAACAACAACAACCACAGCTCCCTCTACCACAACCACAGCTTCACCAACTACAATTTCTGCAACTACAACAACCACAGCTGTTCCAACAACAACATCTGCCCCAAAAACAACAACCACTGCTTCTCAGACCATAACCACAGCTGCACCAAAACCCATGACTGCAACTACAACAATCACAGCTGCTCCAACAACACAATTTGCCCCCTCAACAACAACCCGTACTGCTTCAACAACAAACAAATCTGCACAAACAACCACAGCTACAACTACAACAACCACGGCTACTTCAACAACATTTGCCCCAACAACAATAACCACAGCTACATCGACAACAATCACAGCTTCTCCAACCACAACCACAGCTGCTGCAACAACCACAGCTGCCCCAACAACTTTGGTTGGCACAACAACAACCAAAGCTGCCCCTACCACAACCATAGCTGTACCCACTACAACAACCTTAGCTTCTACAACAACCACGGCTGCTGCAACAACATTTGCCCCAACGACAACAACCACAGYTGCTGCAACAACAATGACAGCTACAAAAAGGACAACCACAGCTGCTCCAACAACAACTGCTGCCCCAAGTATAACTGCAGCTGCCACAACAACAACCACAGCTCTCTCTACCACAACCACAGCTTCACCAACTACCACGGCCAGAACTACAACAACAACTGCTACTCCAACAACAACATCCGCCCCAACAACAACAATCACAGCTGCTTCGACCACAAACAAAGCTACACCAACTACCACGGCTACCACTTCAACAACCAACGCTGCTCCAACAACAACATCTGCCCCTGCAACAGCAACCACAGCTGCCTTAACAACTACCACAGCTATCCCAACAACAACCACAGCAACCCCAACAACAACTGCAGCTACCCCTACCACAACCACAGCTGCACTCACTACCACGGCTGGAACTACAACAACCACGGCTGCTCCAACAACAACATTTGCACCAACAACAAAAATCACAGCTGCTTCAACCACAACCACAGCTGCTCCAACAACAGCAGCTGCCACAACAACAACAACACTTGCCATCATAACCACCACAGCAGCTCCAACAACTACTACAACTGTAGCTACAACAAAAGATGCACCAACAACATCCACGACTGCTACCACAACAACCACAGCCGGTCCAACAACAACCACAGCTTCCACATCAACAACCACAGCTGCTCCAACAACTACAGTGGCAACAAAAACTACAGCTACTTCGATTACCACCACAATTACAACCACATATGTCCCAGCTACAACCACATCTGCCCCGTCTACAACCACATCTACTACAACTACCACAGCTGCTCCAACAACTAGAGCTGCTACCACAACAAGAACCACAGCTGCCCCAACAAAAACCACATCTGTTCCTACAACAACCACTGCTGCCACAACAACAAYCACATCTGTTCCTACAACAACCTCCACTGCCACATCAACAACCTCATGTGCCCCAGCAACAGCCAGTGCTACCCCAATAACAACCACATCAGCTACAACACTTCATACCCCTACAACAAATTCTCCAACAACAACCACTGTTGTGTCAACAACAAACACATTTGCTCCAACTACACCCACAACTGCTTTACTTGTAACAACAGCTTCATCAAGTACAACACCTGTATCTACAAGAAGCACTGCTACAACTACAGCTTCTGGTATTACAACCACAACTGCCCCAACAACAACCACTTCTGCTTCAATAACTGCAGCAACTGCTTCAATATCAAGCACTGCTGCTTCAGAAACTACAACAGCTGCCCCGACTGTGAGCACTGCTGCTCAATCAATCAGCACAGTTCYTCTTACAACAACAGCAGCTTCAAAATCTACCACAATCTCTTCAACAACCACAACTGGCTCAGCTACAACTGTAGCAACTTTACCAAATTCTGCCCTTCCAACAACTTCAATGACAACTTCCACAATCTCAGTTGATACAGCAGCTACTTCAGCTCATMAAACAACCACCACATCTGTTTCAACAGAAACCACTGCTTCATCAACAAGCACAATTGTTCCATCTATCAATAGTACTACAACCACTGCTGGTACAACTTCCACCACTGGTACTACAACAACCACAGTTACTGGAACCTCGACTACAGTTAAAACCACTTCTACATCTCTTTCATTTACCTCAACTTCTTCAACAACACATTCCCCAACAACAACCACAACCACCACTGTCTCACCAACAACCACCGTTTCTACAACAACTGCTGCCAGCTCTGCAATTCATCACAAAACCAGCCTCTTTGTAGCAGTTTTGGTAGTTATTACAGCAGTTATTTTCAATTGAGAAATGAAGTAATAGTTTCTTAATTCACTGCTGTAAATACCATTGCAAATCTTTTGATTCTTAAATATTTATTAGTATTTATTATGTGTATTTTTTGACCTTGTGTAACGTCAGTTTTGTAAATTTGATGAAAAAATGAAAAAGCGTTAGATTTCTAACCACACGAAATTTATTTATTTTTTTGTTTATTATTTGTATGTGTGTGTGTGTGTRTGTGTGTGTGTGTAACAGCAAAGACAAAACTTTTACAGTTACTGAGTTTCTTTACACAGAACCATATAAAAACATGCATTACTATTTATATAATAAAACTATAGTTTGTATATGCTCTAAAACGATATGAAAACACAATTAGCTTTCTTTTCTGTAATATCAACATATTTAAAGTATACTAAACTATTGCTTTTTTATTTTTTATTTTTTCAGCACAAATACAAAGTTAGAGACTGGTTTGCTAGCTCTGTAACATTCCGTTGGATGGCCATGGAGGTCATATGTATTTATAAGAATAAAATCAAAACTTTAAAAAACCCTCTTGATTGACTGAGTTATTTTCTTTACATTTGAGGAAATGTTAGATTAAATCAAATTTGAGTTTGATACATCACTGATTATCATAGATTATACCACTATTATCCAAACTACAATTGTATATGAATAACAAGTCAGATTCAGTTTACTGTCATTCAGACAATCTACAGAATGAAAAATGTTTGGTGTGCACTATGATTTATATGCAATCATTAAAATGACTCATATTGACTTAATGTTATCTTGGATTTTTAGCATGTACAGTACTGTATATGGACATGGCTTTCTTATTGCCCTTGGACATGTGTCTTCTAGCTGCTCGTTGTGTTGCTGCGTCACCTTCTCTGAATGCAACATCATGGGTTCTCAGCAGGTAGAACACCTCAGCATTCAACTAGGGTTTCTGATTTGGTGGAATTATAGAGGTGGTCACATCCTCTAGTAGGACAGGCAATGTTCTGCCAAAAAATCAGTTGTCATTTTACAATTATGTGTTCCACAGTCTCCGAGCAGTGTTTGCTGATCACGGAGCAGCTTAGGCAATAACCTTTGTTTACTTAAATGCAAAGTTCCCCTCCTCTGGATTTCCTGCCAAGCAGGACAGCTACCACTCATCAAGCACAAAAACAGAATCTACAATGTTATTATTGAGCAGTGTCTCCATCAGGACAAAGATACTGCAGCTCTGCATCTCTTATTGACAGTCTCAGATGTAGCAGGTCCATTTTGTTATCCAGAACAGTGACTGTTGTTTAACTATGCTAGTTTTGCCCAACTCTACACTTTTCAAACATTAAATTAGTTAATAGAACTAAGGAAGCTGCTGCAATATTGTGCACCACCCTGACAGCCGAATAAATATTAAAGACACCCTAAAACCTCAGTTCTTCAGATTTTACAATGGCATTTGTAAAGCAGATTGTTAAAGCATCTTTAATAAAGGATCTTGTCAATTATCTATGATGCTTAGTATTGTGCTTGTGTATGTTGCTTTGTTTCCAGCAACAAGCACCCTGTCCTGCAGAGGGCACTGCTATGATGGCAAGATATAAATAATGAAAGGTTTCACAGTCAGACGAGACAGTAAATTTCAGTAGGTGCTCAGGACAACTGGAGGTCATATCTATACAAAGTTCAAACAAAATTAAGTTTATAAACATATTGTTACATTTTAACATACCCCTAAATCTTTAACATTTTTGTCTCTAATAATCCATTTGATCAATTGTATGTTTGGTGTTTTTTTTTCTGTGGGACTTGAAATTCTATTGGGTGATGCATTTTTCCTCATTAATGACTCACATGAAACTTTTAAAAAACACTTTATGATTAACTTATCTAATATTTGTCTACACAGTGACTTTTCTAGTGATGTAAAATTGTGATGGTTAAGATCAGTAAAGATATGGCAAATACAATTAACATTGATACAATGTGGGGCAGCATAATGGACCTCGTTTATTTGACTATCAAGACTTTTTAGCCAGTGATGACAAACAGGAATTAGGTTGGCGGGCTCTAGTAGCACAGATTGCCAAATTTCTTATGTTTTATACATTTTAAAACAAGAAGATTTTTTAAAAGTGTGACACAGCTAACAGTAAAGAAGCTCTAAAAGTAAGTTGTTGACCAGTGAAGGCACATTTACATCAGCTCTTAGATTAATGTGATTCAAAAAAATAAAGATATATTTATCTTGGACTGAAAATATAAATGTGTATTGTGGTATTTTCAATTTGTCATTGTTTTGTTCATGGGAGTAGATTTTCACCACCAATATGACTTAATTAAGTGTCTGGCATATTTTATGGTTGAGTTTATTGAAGTGAGTTATTTTTTCTCATCCTCTTTATTTTATAGACTATCTTTCAAAGACTGGCATACGTAGTTAATAAGCCTAAGTATTGGTCATGTTTTTATTTAATTATTTTATCCACAAAGCTATTATTGTCGTAGTAGAAATGAACGTGTTTAGATTTTGTGTTGCTTTGTTTGACAATGTTTTATTTCATTTTTAGTTTTTACACAGAGTTTATAGTTGTTTATTTGAAATGATTTAATATTTTTATCAATCAATCAATAAAGGATGGCTTTGTAATGTTTAATTGTTGTGTTTCTCCTGAGTGTTAGAATTGGTTTTAAAAAAACTTGAGCCGGTAAAATAGTGCCACACCTTGCACAYGTTTGAAGAGCATGACCTTTAATTTAATAAAACAAACAGGCAGAACTGAAGCTTAGCATAATTTTGATGGCATCTTTTTTATTGTGAAATTGGGAGGCACCCCAACCAACTCTTTTATTCTGTGGCTAAAAACAGAATACAAAATGTTCCGGACGACAATGAAGTATGAGTCGTGAAAATTGCCAACCAGTGTTAAATTAGTTGACAACCAGTAATAAACACCTATACACACCTCATCTGTTGATGGGGTGTGTATAGGTGTGTTACCTTCATCATGCAACATGAGTAATCTAAAATAAATAATTCCTCTGTAAGACAACTAATGCTGATTTGAATCCTGAGACTCTTGGCACCAGCAGCCAAGCAGTTACAAAACCCAGTAACAAGCCTTTCTGCACCCCCCCCCCCCACACACACACACACACACAACCAAACAATAAAAAAAATAAAAAAAAACTAAATTTGGAAACTGAAACAGTACCAGCGGTCATGGGAACTCTAGGACTTGTGAAGACAGGATGGGAGAAGATAAAAATTCACAAGATCTAGAAGACTACCCTCCTGGGAACAGCAAACATATGGAGGGTATTACCTCTAAAGTAACCCTTTAGCACCTTAGGACCATGGTTTGGTCCCAGCTCTAAAGGATGTAAATGGAAACAACCATATAAAGAAAATGTAATAATAATAATAATAATAATAATAATAATAATAATAATAATAATAATAATAATAATAATAATAATTGGTAGTTCAGACTAGATTCATTGAAAGGGCATGCCTGAAGCACCTCCTAGGGAGGTGTCGAGGAGACATCCTTGCCAAGGGTCTCATTTATAAAGGATTGCAAACAAAATTCAGATTAATAAAACCATGCGCTCGCACACCACAAAGCAATTTGCTGTTATAGATCACAGCTGTACCTCAAATTTTGTGCACAAGTTCCCGCCTCATGTTCTGCCCCCAACATTCAACCATAACTGGTCAATGCAAAGTACATCATGAATTTGACGGTGTATTTAAATGTGCTGATCAATGTTATTTCATGACAATGGCAACCGTGAGAAAAAGAGCAAAGAAACACAATTTCATAGAGGGAAAATTCAATGTGCTGGTGAGAAAAAATGTATAAATTTTGGGAGCCACAGTAGCCTTGTTACAAATTAAAGGAAATGCTATGAGTGGCAGAAYACCATTATTGTTAATTAAGAGAGTGGGACAGAGAGGACCATGGTGAAGGTGATGAAAAGTGGTCAGATTTTAGGGTGGAGGCAAAAAATGCAGCTGACTGACCGGCCACCGTCAGAGTCTGTCAGCCACAGGTGGAGGTAAGGGCACAACCGAACCGACACTTTTTGAAAGGAGGATGGTTTCTATATTTGGAGAGGAAAGCTTGTGTGGCCTTGTGTCAGAAAATGAGGGAGGCACTAATTTGGCTGAGACCACAGATGAGCCAGGTTTAATTTATTTAATTTATATTGTGTGAATAAGAGGTAAAAGGACATTCGGCTGACATGTTGTCTTCATGTTCTCAAGTCTCCTTGAGTTGGCAGGTGGTGAGGAGAGTCCAGGCGAGGGAACAATGGGTGCAAAGGATATGGCTGTCCCCACCGCCAGCACACCCAAACTGTATCGTGTGTCTGGAGGAGGACAGGTGACGATTGCTGTTCTGGAAAATCAGAAGGAAACGATTCATGAACGGAGAAAAATCAGATCGTCATTTAGCAGTTTGTGTGATGTCATGTCTGACATATCAAATTTGTTAAAAGAACTCATTAAAACGTGAATCTTATTGCTGTATCTCCTCCCTGACATATCCAAACATTGCCACTGGCATTTTAGGAGGCCGATGCACACTCTACACTTGAGCGCTCATGGGTGTGAACTGTATTAAACCACACTTCCTCTGTGCACACCTTGTTG